ACTGACCTAGTCCCTAAAATCCTAAGTGAATGCAGAGCTTTTCAGGAGATTTTTCTCAAAATATCTCATCATTGTGCCATAATATCTTGGTCACAATGTCATTTATGCCAGCAACATATAATCTGAAGAAAAGCTGAGGAAGATGTAAGTATAAAATACAGCAATAAACATCCACAAGCCTAAAGGAGCCTCTCTAATGAGCTTCTTGCTTGACTCGCCTTTCATTCAACCCTGTACTTTTTTATGGGGATAACATAAAGAAGAAAGTAGAGAGTCAAAATAAAATCTGCATAACCCAGTTTTATTTAATATTATTTTTATGAATCACTTACTAAAAGCACCTCTTAAAACCAACTGAAAGGGTTTGAGTTACCTGTCACAATTTTGTTTTTACAACTGCAATTTTTGTGATTAATTTTTGGGCAGGAAAATCAAGCTCACATCTTTCAAAGAAAGATTACCAAAGCAGAACAGAAAAGATTTTCTTTAGCAGGAACATATGCTTGAATATTGCTTTAGGATAGAGCTCAGTGCCTCAAAGAGAAATGCTGAAGTATTTATTGCAGACAGGCAGAGGTTTCTACAGTTGTCATTGGTAAAATCACTTTGAAATGAAACATCTGACCAGAACTATGATTCGCTGCCTAAAAATATTGCCCCACATGAGAAAAAATGATATTATACATCTTGAAATACAAACATTGCTTTCAAGTTCCATTATAAAATGCTTGTTCAGTTTTATGGTAGGTACATCCCTTATTTTTATGTTCCAACCTATTTATTTCAGACATTAAAGGCTTTGCTACACGTAGAAGAGGCAACATTAGGAAAACAAACACAGTAGTTAAAAGCTGTGAATTACATTTGCACAAAAATAGAGGAAATGAACTCAATGATAAAATTAATTGTGAAGCAAACTCTCATAGTTTAGTCAGATATTGATTTGTGTCTCAGATCTCTTTTCAGTCGCAGGAATTAAATGGAAATCCATGACATGTCCTTGCTTCCATGACTGTCAGAATTCAGGTTGCCCTGGAGACATGATGCTACATTCATGGAAGAATAAGAGAGAGAACTCAGCCCTGCTTTTCTCTGGGGACCACGCTCCCAAAATTCTTCTATGGGCCTCCTCTGACACCTGAGAGCTTGAAGACAAAGACAACCAGCCAAGTATTTGTAATGTGAGATGCTACTGTAAATTAAATGCTTACTAATGAAAGATCAGAGGGATCACTTTAAAAAGCTAGCTTCCTATTTCTCTGCATACCTTTGGGAAATACATAATCATGGTTTTTAGCAGCACAGCCACAGGCACTGTATATTTAAAGCAAGCACAGCAGCAAAATCTCTGTGTCTTATACAGAGGTGTGACACTGGGTAACGATAAGCAACATCGTGGGTACCAGAATATACTTGATTATGACAGTTCTTAAATCCACGTATATATCTATCCAAGTCATTCATCTGTAAACACTGGATAGCATCTGCTGGAAATGGAAAGTAGAACAAGCCAGCCTTACAGGCAGAGCTTCCTGTCAGTCTGTGGAGGTATGTAAATCCCTCAGCAGGTCAATACATTATTTCCTTTGTCACATATAGGCTTTACTGCTCCTGTCAGTGTACTGTCCTGTAATATTGTTGCACAAGAGGCTGGAGTTCAGGAAGGGCTTTGGTACTCAGAGAACAAAAGCTTCACACACATGACATCAAGGCGAGTGCACACACACAGCCCCTCTGGGCCTTGGGACAAATGAGTGCAGCTCATCTCCCTCTTTGCATCTCCCAGCAGCAAATTGAGCATGGAGTGGAATGAGGACAGCAGTGAGGGGACCTAGGAATATTGACTTCTTTGATGTGTAGGCTGGAAATTGGGAGCTCTTACCAAAACCTGTAAAATGGGAATGGGATAGAGGATACTGATAAAGATCCTGTGCTGAGAACAGGAAGCTTCACACTGCTGCTAAAAGAAAAGAAGACACATGCACACAAAAGAAAGCATCACTGGTGCTTCTCTGTACAGAATGGCACCTGTGTCCTCCAACACCTCATGACCAGATTCACAGTCTGTGTAGGGTAATTGTGAGTGGAGCCGGACAGAAAGACAGCAATGCACAGGACATAAGCAAGCATGAGGAAAATCAGACTGGAGGTAAAGACAATCACTTTGCAAACCATGTTACTGCTGGGGAAAGGAGACACCCTCCTATAATTGAATGCCTGCAATTTAGGAGGGATTACATACTTTCTGGGAGTCAAGGTGAGCCCAAATGCTTTGCTGAATGTCCAGGCCTATGGCTTCCGAGTTTGCAACCAATGGTAAACACAGCTGTCAAATGCAGAAGTGCCTTGCCCTCATCCTGCCTCCTCAGGTTGTCAGTAAAAAGAGACTAGCAGTCACCGATGGAACTAACTTCTACGAATTTATTAAAAACATTTTACATCTAACTTCCTTAATAGCTTTCACCTTTGCCATACCTGTGGCAATAAATGCCATGCTTTGGATAGACATTTCACTAATTATCTCAAGCTTTGATCTATGCCTCTGAAGTTGCATGCTGCTTCCCCAGGCACTGGAACTAGAAGTCTGTGTTGGAGCTGCCCTGTTCTACTGGGATAGTGAATAAAGCCTTTCTCGAATATGTTTTAGTAGATTTCATTCAAGTATATAATGTGAATAAAGAGGCCCATATTCATAATCTACAATAGTAATAAATGTTAATTGTACAGTAATAGTTATCAAGGACAATATTCAATGGGATCATGTCTTGTGCTGGCTTCGGGGTATACCGCTATCATAATTAATAATGTTATTTAATAACAACAGAGGACAAATACAGCTTATAAATTCAATGGCAAGGTTAATAAATGGGATCTGGTAATTATTAGGTACAGCTGAGCAATCTATGAAGCATTTTAAGACCTCCCCTAGAGGTAGTGAAGCAGGGCTGATGTGCTTGCCTCCTTTAGTGAGCAACAGGAATAAAAAGTAAATAAATAGAGATGTGAAACAGCCTAGTCTCCTCTTTATCATGCCCTTCCTCTAAACTACTTTTTTTTTTTTTAATACCAGAATTAAAATGCCTTTGTAGCATGGACTTTTGAAAGAAACTATGATTCAGAGCCTAGCCTGATTTGGGACTCAACTTTATAATATCTTCTTATTGGTCATGGAGTTCTCTGTCTCAGTCATTCATGTGCAAAAGGCTGTTTCCTGTCTTGACAGGTTTACAATTTAAGTAATTCCTGTAAAATTTAAAAAAAAAAAAAAAGAACAATTGTGGTAACAATTTGTCTTCTAAAAGGTAAAGCCTTTGGTATTTCTGCTCATTCTTATATTCCTCCAGCTTGCACAGTCCTAGCATGACCTGTAAATGGTATTTTTCTAAAGAGAAAGTCTCTGCTATAATTCTTGAGCAGGTACAAACAAGCCAGGGCTTACTACCATTATCGTGTTACTGTGACTTAATATACTGTTGAGAGGATTTGCACTCTGGTAAGTAGCATGGCTGGAAAGTCTTTCTCCTTATTGCAAAGATAAATTAGTTTAAAAACACCTTTGAGGTGAGATGGGATAACAGCAGGCACATGGGCACCTATGATACTTCAGCTGTCAACTATGTTGCAAAACAGAGTAACTCATCTGTTTTTGACGGCATGCTCTTAATCCACAAGGGAAGAGTGTTAAGTGAAGGGCACTGACAGACAAGCTTTGGTTGAGTTTCATGCGCAGGAACTGAAGAATACATGGTGCTACTGCCCCCACAGACAAAGGAAAGATACCTTACTCACCTCACTGCTATGTCAATTAATATCGATAAAGTGATTCACTTTTTGATACCAGGGCAAAGGAACAGAACTAAAAGGTAAAGGTAGGCTGTTGGGTTGGTTTTTTACCCAGTGCAGCAAGCCTGTCAGTGTCCATATAATTACACTATCCTATATATAGAACAAGTCAATAATGCACATGCACATAATACATATACATATCACATACACCATTAGCTGGTGTGCAGTAATGTGCTTGACAGCATTAAGTTGAGCAGTGTTGCCCTGGTTGGATCCTGAACCTCCAGTTTGAAGCCACCTGTGAACATCACCATGGTGAAGTTACAAAAGAAACAAAGAATGGTGAAATCAAGGGTGAGGTGAGGTTTCTAAAAGGTAACTGAAAATGTAAGGATTTTTATTGTCAAGGACTGCAGTGCTACAGCAGAAGAGGAATAATATTTCTAAAGATTAAGTAGGACAGTTGGCAGAAGAATTTTTTTTTGGTAGGTGGTCACAGTCAGAGGATAATATACCCAGAACCAGGCTCTTCTCTGAGAAATACCATTCACAGGTAAAAGAAAGTTCTTTTTGAAAGTCTGTTCTTCCAGCGGACAAGGAAAGTTCTAATTTGGTCAGCTTTGAATCACAACCTAATAAAACGAAAAATAGATTACTCTTCAATCACGGGCACTAGAATAACTTGGCAGATGATTATAGAGACAAAAGTAGCATCGTATGCCGTGCAACGCTTTGCAAACTGCGTGGTTTGGACCCCAATCTACGCGTGCCTCCAAGGATGGAAGCAGAGCGTGAGCGAGCACTGACCCCTTGTGGGCAGAACAGTCAGAGCTGGGAAAGGTCGCTGAATTCAAAATACAAACTACGTCATGGGCACCGCTGGCCCAAAGCTTGCGCTTGGCACCTCTACAGTCGGCATAGTTCTACTGTTAGCAATCTCTCACTGTCTGTGTGTCAGCAAACATCATGTCTATTGTAAAATCTAGAGGCAATTTTTTTTATGGCCAAAAGAAAACAGTGCATACTTACAATTTGCTTAGTAAGACACAGAAGTCCAACTACTGGTCAGTAAAATTAACTGAGGCTAAATTCACTCAACTTCTTAGATATTTATTGAATAACCTGCATTGTGGAGACTGTGTCAATGGACATTATCAAAGCACTGATGTTTAAAGAAAAGAATCATAAGGAAATATGAACATACATATCATATATTAAGAGTCTTAGCCCTATTTTTATTACAATCAAAAAGTACAGAATAGTGAATGTTCATATATTTTCAATGTCTGCCCCAAAAGCAGTTTGCTTGCTTCTCACTTTCAAGTTATTTTCCATAGGAAAAGTCTTTTAAGTGTTTTGGAGCTCTTCTTTAAAGTAATCCAAAGTAGAAAATCAGTCCTATGCACAAAATTCTGTAAGGCTTCAGCTGAAACTACCCAAGTTGAGTGTTCTCAAACAGTTAAGATGCCATACAGGCTTCTCTTCCTCTATTACTCAGGTCATACTTAACTTCATTCAACAGTATCACCCAGAATTTAGTGAAGACTGGAGTTTTTTGTGCTTTCACCACCTTAAAATAGTGAAGTTTCTGCAAAATACTTCGTCAAGGAGGATCCATAAATGTGGAGCTTGCATCTGGTCTTGCAGAAGGGCTTTGCCAGTTGTGTGGCTTGTCCTTGTTTCCTTTGCACCCTGTCTCACACAAGAATTGTTGTCACACACCCTAGATATTTATTCTTGCCTCAGAGTGGCAGGGAAGGGAAGAAGCACGAGAATCTCAAGACCCATGAATTCCTTATTGCAAGGCATTGAAAGGAAGGAGGAAGAACTTCTATGAGGAGAGCAGAATGCCAGACAATGTGGCACACTTATTCTCTTAATACTATTCCAGAGTAAGAGACACTGTCTTAGTCTTTGATTGATATGAAGCCAATCTGTGTTCCAAAGTTGGCGCCATCACGAACGTGAGAATAAAATTTATCAGGGTGGCATGTAGTACAGAAAGTGACATTTTGGTTCTGGTCTGTGATAGAATCATCTTGGATGTTTTCGGGAAGAACCCCTCCTCTCTCAAGAAGAATCCTTAAAAAAAGAAAGAGAAACAGAAAATAACATGTTTTTGTACATCCTCACATTCTGTAAGGCGCTATCTTTAAGGCAGGACCTCAAGTGCCAGCTAAACAAACTGTGCCAATATTGTGATTGGGACTTTCATTTGCCTTTTTTTTTTCTTTCTTCCAGAGTTAGACTAAATTAATCACTTTCCCGCAACCAGTGAAGCCACATTAAAATAGAAGTTTTGTCTATAATCCATAAGCTACCAGTATAACAATAAAATAATAGCTGAAACAGCAAAAGTGAGTAGGTACCATTCATTCAAAGGTATCATTTGTTGACCTGCAAAGTACTAGAGAGTAGTTTAACAGAATATCAAAATAATTATTGATAACTAAAGTGAAATTAGTCTTTTGTTCACTCAGGAGGCTTACCGTGTTGCTCTTCTAATATCAACATAAGGATTTGCAGAGTCAAATAGTCTCACACACTTCGGATCAATTCTGTGAAATTCTTCTGCTGATTCATGAGGAAGTTTATAGCAGCAAGGTCCTACAGATGGGCCCAGCACCACAAGGATATCTTTCACGTTACAGCCATATTCAGATACCATAGCATTTACTGTGGCCATAGACACTCCTAACAACGTGCCTTTCCATCCTGTGAGAAATGAGAGGTTGAAAAAAAAATTGTGTGAATAGTCTCTTTCATTTTCTAGTACATTCTAGAAATATATGCTATTATTAAAGGTATAAATTAGGAAATATATTTACACCTAAAATTAAAAAAAAAATCTAATAATAAATTGTCTTTTTAAAAAACCCAAAACATACACATTAACAGCTATCAGTTTGCTGATATAATTTTGTGGAGATGGAAACTAAAGAGAAGTGTTTAGTTTAGAATTCCAGAATTCTTTTTTCCCAGTGTCCTGGTTTGGGCAATTAGAGCATACCTTATAGCTCCTCTGTGCTTGAAACATTTAAATGGGAATATGACAAGAGAAATATGCCAGAAATATGTCAGAGTCTTTTTTATAGTGGTTTAATGTTATTTTAGAAAAAAAAAAAAAAGACGAGGCTCAAGATAGGGACATTTTTTTGAACAGACAGAAGCCAAGTTTGCACTTGGGCATTGTTTGGAATAGGTAGAAGAAAGCCCAGCTTTGAGTTCTCGTATATCAATGTGAGTCCTGGGAAATCTTTGCATTGCACAGGGAGTGCAATTCCTACCAGAATGAGCAGCACCACAGGCTTTTCTGACAGGATCAGCAAATAGAACGGGTATGCAATCAGCACCTGGAGCTGCTAACGTAACACCTTTCTGATTCGTAACTATTCCATCATAGCTGTCAGGCTCTGTCTTTCCCATAATACACACAGCATTAGCGTGATTAACCTGTCAAAACAAAACCAGAACATGGACAGTGATATGGCATCAAAACAACCCAGTTCTGTCTAGTACAAAGTTTTTTCTTTGGCATGAAACACTCTTCTGCACCAACTGATTATGCGTGGAAATCAGGCACTCCCTTGTTCAAATGCCATGCAGATGTATCAGTAGAAAGCCACTATGGAAGTGATGGTGTATTTTTCTTTTAGGAGGAACTGCTCTGATCATTTATCTGATTATTCTACTCTGTGGTAAGTTAAATGTTTGAACAGACTTGGAAGAATCAGCGCTGCTTCTCCATATTGTGCCAAATGGCTGATAGTTTGAATGGCTATTCCCTCAGATAAGCTGCCAGCTGGTTCTCACAAGTTCTTGCTGACAAAAGTAAGAATAATGCCTACAGTTTTAGCCAGTGACACATGCAGGAAGATATGATCCATTTACTTAAATCCATTGTTTTATAAGATACCTTAACTCTGTGAAAAGCCTCTGGGTTAAATCCTGCAGCATTAGCTAGCCGACGGAGATTTTCTTTAACAACAACTTGTGGGTCTCTCCGCTTGGAACTGCTGAAGAGATTGCAGGAGCTTAGAGTTGGTATATATGAGATCCCACCTGTCCTTGTGGTGAAGCCATGCAGGAAGATATCATCTGGCAAGGCAAAAAAGTAGACAACAAATAATTGCTTTCAACACAAGACCAGGCCAGCTATTACATAGTTTTATACTGAAGAGACCTGGAATCAGCCAATGAAGTTGATTATTTTTTTACCTTGTATTTAGCTGTGGCATTTACATTTAAGGATTCTAATTTCCTTCTTGCTCATAATCATGCTATAGCAGGGACACTGAGGTGAGGCATGTTTGGGGCTGCAGACCAGGAGAAACTCTTGCCCTGCCTTTCCAGATGATGATGGTAACTGTCCAAATGTGTAATTCACACACAGAGAAGAGGAGATTTTACTGCCCACAGTAATGCCCTCACTAAACCCAGGACTGTCTTTCCTCTGATCATGCACAGGCCTGGAACAGACTTGCCAGTCTTTTGCTGTATTTCTACTGACATGTCTCCCTCTTATAGTCGTGATACACTATTACAACATCATATAGAGTTATTTGTTGCCTGAAGACATTTCCAAATCTTACCCATTTTGCAATTCCCTTGAACTTGGTAACAGTCTCTGTAAAACTACTAGCTGGAACTCTCTTTACCTGGAATCAGGGAGGATCTGAGGATGGTGAGCTCCCCTTTCAGGCTTGGCAGGCTTTCCAAGTGCCTCTGAATCTCACTTTGAATGAGTGCCATGTCCTGTGAAGGAAGTGTTTGCCCTTCACCCTGAGGTTCAGGTAGGTTTTCAGAGTCAGATGCCACCTGTAAATCCTCATATTCAAACTGGTAGACTGCTGTAAAGAGATGGTCTATATATGCTTTCATTAAGTCTTTTCTTAAGGTAGGGAGAATAACTTTAATGATGCTTAGGTCTTTTTCATCCAGTCTCTGTTTGATGGTGTACAAAGCAGCAGCTGTAGTCAGAGCACATACCACCTCCAGTTTTCTCTTCAGACTCTGAAAACCTCCCAGAGCTGGAAGCAAGAACTCTTGTTCACCTTTCCTTTCACTCCCCTGCCTCTGGCAACACATGACATAAACAAATGGAGCATGGATGGAAGAGCATTTCTCAATAGTTTCCAGTGTGTTGCATAGTAATCCTTGGATGTTGTTCTGCAAGTTCTCCGGGAGGTTGAACAGATCTATTAGTACTGCTTCCACCATATTCCAGGATATTTAAAAGTTTCTACAACTGTCAAGTAGTAACAAGCCATGAAAAACAAACAAAAAGGTATGAATCAACTGTTAGTCCAAACACAGAATAATGGTATTAAGGCAATGAATTCAGTGATACTGGGTAGAGCAGGTACAGAGCAGTTAATTACTAACTCAGGATTTCCTAGCTGCATCCAAAGAAATTGCAGCAAAAGAAAACTAGAGGAAATGGGAATTATTATGTATTTATTTAAGCATTTAGGTATTTCCCTACCACTCCACCTACCTCCAGCTTTTCCCAGGTCAGGGATGATGAAAGGTTAGTACATAAGATTAGATTTATTGAGTCAATTAACCCACATTAGCCTAATGGATCTTCTTGACATCTCGTTGATGGGCCCTCCTCCAGCTTCCAGAGGGCAAGAAAATACAGAGGTTCCTTAGTTTGCTGGGACTGGAGGAGTTTCTGTAACAATTTTTTTGGAGCTGTTTACGACATCGCTGAGGTGGAGCTCATGTCTTCTACCCCTCCTGGCAGCAGAGTGCTGGGCTGTGAGTTCAATGACATTTTTTCCCACCAGACCTTTTGTACTTCTCCCTTTTGAGTTACCAAAAGTATTGACTTGCTAATTTCTAGCTTCTGTGTGAAGGGGCACGTGATTGGTATAGTTCTTCTTTTCAGCACGCACAGGAACTCAGCACAGGTTACTGAAACTTTACCTAGTAATACATGAAGCACTTAGAACAAAATTAAAATAATGAAATACTGTGCATAACTTCCTGCCTCGGTTTTATCACACTGCTAGCTGCACTCTTTGCTTTGAAATCAAGATGTGTTAAGCTTATCCCAAACCATCCTATCATTCATGTTTTCTCTTGTGGCCCATAGTGTAATTCCAGGTTTGGTGGTTTTTTTCCCTTTTCTGAATTTTTTTGATCCAGGCCCAGCTAGGCCTACCTGTGAAAACTTGTCCATCTATCTCTTCACCTCTCTGTTGCTATGAGAGCCTATTTTTCATGCCCTCTCAGAGGTGTCTTACTTTCTTTTCTCTCCCCCTGATAAACTTTCAGTTTCAAGTGCAAGCCTTCCGACGTCTGTAACAAAAAGTTAGAATCCTCTACTTTGGGAACCTCAAAGACACCTATTTAGATTTCATGACTAAGCACCATGCTTGATCTAGTAGAAATACACATAGCTTTGCCACCAGTTCTAAGACCCCGTAATAATTTAGAGTATTCTTTAACACTGACATTTGTTGTACAGCAACAACTTGTTCATGGATATTAATTTATTTGTAGGAAAATTCATATCTTTGCAGAAACAAAGAAATTGAGAACTCTTTTGAGTCTTTGAAATCAAGAAGTAATTAGTACAGGAGTAACCATTAGGAGTACAAGGAATAATGGGCACAAACTGAAAGAGGGGAAATTTAGGCTAGATATTAGGAAGCAGTTCCTTATTGTGAGGGTGGTGAGATACCAGAACAGGTTGCCCAGGGAGGTTGTGGATGCCCCAACTCTGGCAGTGTTCAAGGCTAGGTTGTATGGGGCTTTGAGCAACCTGGTCTAGCGGGAGGTGTCCCAGCCTAAGGCAAGGGGATTGGGACTAGGTGATCATTAAGGTCCCTTCCAACCCTTAACATTCTATGATTCCATGATCAGTGCTCTGCTACCAGAGCTAACTGCTTAAGATAGTGCCTGGCACTATTTTCCTGCTCCAAGTCCTCATTCTCCTGTAACTACATGCATGCTCTGGCTTTACAACACTTCATTGTTCTGCAAAAATACTACTTCTGTGTGCACTTGAGGCCTACCATCATGACAGACTGGGGGTACTCCTTGGCATTTTATGCTTTAGAATGGATTCCCAGAGCTTCTACACTCAAATGAAAGGTCAAAGACCTTTCTGGTTTTAAGGGACAGTTTATTCAAAGGTTTTACTGAAAACATTCTGTGTTTTCTTCATTGTTCTTTTCCCCAGACTGGAAGAAAAATAATCCTGACTGAAAATGATGTTTTCCTTTCTGTGAATTGAACACTTACAAAGATTAACTAGTGACTATCAAAACAGGTAGACTGAAAGTATCAAAATGTGACAGCAGATAAAAGAATCTACCAGGGAATTTATGACTCTTGATTTTGCTCAGAGTATTATTTACACACAGCTGATAATGGATTTTAGAGAAAACAGCTTGCTAAGAAAACTGCCAAAACAGGCTCATGTCAAAGACCATGCCTTGGGAAATGAGAGTATTTCCTTTCCTACCCTGACACTCTCTGTGGGAGGCCTGTCAGAGTATGACATGATCACAATCTAGGTATAGTTAATAGCTTTATATAGGAAAAACAGTACAACAGAGGGCTGTACATGAAAACCAGATTATTGCTCCACTTCAGCTATGTCAACAGTGGAAGGTAAGTAAAGTTCGTTGCTGTCCTCATACTTCCCCAGAAAAATACCAGCAAAGAAAAGGTGGAAGGAAAGTGTTTACTGAGGGAGAGGTAATTGTCTACATTGTTAAGTTGTGTGTGTACTGCAAAAAGTCCAGAGGGGCAATTACTGGGATGTACACATAGGAAAAATGGGGCTGATTCATCCTTCCAGTTTTGCATCACAGAGTCCTAGCGAGGTCAGTGGTGTCAGAAATAAACTTGCTTACAACTGTAGCAAAACGAACTCCTTTTTAAGCCCCCCTCAAAAAAAAAAAAAAAAAAAGAAAACCCTTCTCAAAATACAGGCCCGCCAAGCACAGCAATGTTTTAGCTTACAGGAAATGCATTCACAGTTATCCAGGTTTGAAGTAACATGCCCTACAGTCCCAGTGTTCCATGAAAACCACATCAAAAAACTTATTTACTAAGGAGTTGATCATACTATTACACAATTCAAGACAAATACTTCCACAAACTTGAAGCCAAGGCCACACATTAGCTGTTTTGCTCACTCTCTTAAACTGTTTGTACAAACATTTGGAGGGTAAAGAGATTCTCCCGCACTGATATCAAGAAAAAGAAAATCAAAGAAAATGATCAATAATGAGAAGAGAGGTAAAGAGGGTAAGAAGAGTGAAAAGTAGAAGGGCAAAGTGAATATAGAAAAGCAACAACGAAGGAAGAAAAACCAAGCTGCAGAGAAAAGACAGCTTAGGGTAGAAAAAAGATGCAAAAAACCCCCAATTTTCAAAAACCCCAGCAGTCCAATTATAGAAATTCCCTCTTGGTCAAGACAAGATTGCTGACAATTTCCTGCACCTTTGAATCCTGCTGGTCACCTTATATTTGTACAGAAACTCAGAGAAATGACATAATTTTTGGAAAATTAAAAAGGCAAGAGATATTTAACACCTGAAAGAGGGAGATGCCCTGAGAAAGAAAACAGGTCATTAAAGCTGCCCAAATGAACAGGGATAAGAGCACATTTGTAAAAAATTTCAACAACAGAAAAAAACCCAAAAACCAACCCCCCAAACAAATAAACAACAAAAACACAAACAAACAAAAAACAAAACCAGGGGGAAAACATATTTAAACCTCCTAAATGGAATTACAATAAAACATTCTGCCTCTCTTAAGTGAGGTGTATTTAGGCAAGGTCGAAGAAAGAGAGATAACCTCATACAATGAAAATATTAAAGTACATGCAGTTTTTATAAACAAACTCAGAGTTTAAAACACAGGAATTTACTTACACAGATGGACAATCCCTTTAAACTCTTGAAAGATACCAACTGATATAATACACACACATTTCCAGCTTTATATATCTCACTTCTTTCAGTCTTGGAAATGATTTGTACAAGATGGAAATTCCTATTCTATGTAAGATAGCACTGGGAACCTGTATTTCTTCTTTTTGATGGGACCCTGCTTTGTTGCTGATTCCACCGGAAAGAACAAACTGTACCGCAAGGGACCGGCACGATTAACAAGTGTCTGGGTAGCGCTGAACCCGGAAGCAGCGTTAACCCTGCCATGCAACTCCCTGCTGCAATCACACCTTCTAATGCACCAGCTTTGCACAACCTCAAACCCGCTCAGAAACGTATGGTGGAGTGAAACAGAACAAGAACACAAAGAAGTTCAAGGAAAACTTGTGCAGACCGAAGGAGTTTCCTTTTCTGAGCTATAGCTGCACGTTCCGCTGAAGAATTTGGCAGTCAGTCAAGGAAATGTATATTTCGGATGCAGAGAGAGAGGTTATGAGAGGTTAGCCTTAGGGGCCACAGGCCCCAAATGACAATGGCAATTTCTTGTTGCAGCGGTTAGAAATTTCGCAGAACATAGTGAGAAAGTCTTAATCCTTTGACAGGACAATGCAAAGGTTAAAAAGGTAAGTGGGGAAATTATGGATTTATATCAGACTTTGTACAAAAATCAAACGGTAATAAATATGTTTTGTCAGCTGTGTTAAAATCATAGTCATGGCAGTTAAGTATATGACAACTGAAGAACAGGACAAGAAAAAAAAGGAACAGAGGAATTAATAAAATCTGATTTTCTATTAATTGCTGTCTCCTGTTCCTCCTTTCCTTGCAACTGCAGTAAACATACATTACTGCCAATTCCAAAACACATCTGGGGAGTACTCTGGCATTTCCTCTCCTGCTCTTCCTTCCAACTTGAGCTGGGCAGAAGGATGAGAGCTGAATTCTCCTTGTTCTCCCTCCTGAAGAGAACTGATGGGGCTATCTTGTCCTTCCCCATCTAGACATCTCCCTTCATAACATTTGCAGAAATCGGTCATCTCTGAGGCTTTCCAACCTACTGTGGCTGAACTAGGTCATTAAAAATTAACAGGACCACTTGGTGGAGAGAGACCAACGCAATTATTTTCTTTCCTTCAGCCAGACTAAGGAAGAAAAACTAATTACTGGGGTAATTTTTGGTGCAGAATGCTGAGAAGGAAAAGGTCAGGAAATATCCAGGGTTACAAAACAATAATTGAAAAGTGACAAATTGACAACTCTGGCTCAAGTATTATATTCAGCCTAGGCCATTTCAAAAAAAAAAAAAAAAAAAAAAAAAAAAAAGGTGAAAAACCCAGATCATATGAAGAGATAAGTAGTTAAATTATAAAATAATTGTTATAAAAATATATAGTTTTTACATTTATTAAGTAGTTTAATGTATCTATTGTGTAAGTTGTTTAATATACTATTTCTATATTTAAGTTGTTATATGTTAAAAATATAAACATTCTAAAATTGAATTATAAACATAGTGCAATTTAGGGTTAAAATCCCTCAACCTGGAGTTCAGAAGAATACGAGTGGGCACCAGGCAAGTCCTTGCCTACAGCACAGGACACCGCACAGAGCAGGAAAAACTGGGCCACGTCTCTTCTCCGTCGCAAGCCCAGTGGTGCTCAGCAAAACCTGTGTTCTCTGCACAACAAACTATGGCAGCAAACGCAGTTTCATTCAATGAATTAGGTAACCCGGGGAACTTGGAAGCGAGAGGAATCCGCGTAGAACGCCCTCAGCCACGGGGCGGTGAAACCGCTAGCGGGCGGTGAAGCAGCCACCCGTTCCTGAAGGCGACGGCTTGTTCCCGACGTTCTTCCTCGGGCTCCTGCCGGGATCAGCACCTCTCCGGGCTCCTGTGCCCTAGCCGCGGTTCTCCGGCGTGCCCCGACCCCCTACCGCCGCATCGCCGGGCTGCCCCTGGCCGGCGATCCCGGGCGGGGGAGGCGCGGCCGTGGCTGCGCCCTGAGGGGCGGCGGCCCTGTCGGTGCAGTGAGACTGCGGCCTGCGTTCACACACCGAGGGTCCCTGCTGCGGGCGAGCGCTGCAGCAGTGTGTTTCATAAAATTCCGCAAGCAAGCCTTCTGATTCTCAGTGATTAGCTTTGAACGTCTGCCCATTAAGAACCTGTTCTCACTAAGTAAAAGGAGCCTAATTAAACAGTGAGTTGATCTGCGATCCCACGGAAAATCCCTTAGTATTGTTTCACCAACAGGAATTTTCATCAACAGGAATTAAATGAAATTAAGATAAAACAATTCACTTTTTTTTTTTTTTTCCGCCCCCACCTCTAGTTCTTCACTTTCGCCTAAAATGGCCAAGCAAAATTCTCCATCGCTGGTTGAAGTTGTAAAAGAAGTTGCAGAGCAGCAGCATTTACAGGCATCAGAGATAGAAAAAAGCAAAACACTTCTTTTCCAATTGCAGGTAATAAACCTTGTTTAGAGCAGTTTAATATTTTTTTTTTTTTAATTTTCCTTAGGTAAAGAAGTGTTCCTGTGAAAAGGAGAAGCTGATAGTATAATATTTTTCTGGGCAAGTGTGATTGTAAGGCAGATAATCAGATACATTTAGGCTTAGTCAAAACTGTGGATGTGTACTGTTGTTTGTAAGGCCACAACAGAGCTAAGACTTCATTAGAGCAGGTGAAACTTTTGGGTTTTACTTGTAAAAAAAAAAAAAACAAACAAAAAATCCCCAACAAATACTGAGCTGAACACACAAAGCAAATCCACAATAACTAAATGCAAAATTAGGTCTTTTAAAATTGTTTTTTATAGTGATTTCCTAAGAAATTTGGTGGGGGAGAAGGGGAGGGCAGGCAAGAAAGGATTTTAAAACAATTTTTTTGGTTCTTTTTGGCAGATTTTCACCAGCCCGGATAGTCTTTTTGACACAAAATGACTTTTTTTTTTTTTTTTTTTTTTTTATTAAATGTGTGTTTGAAGTGGGTATCCTAAATAGTCATTAAACACTGCCTTATTCATTACTGTTAATTAGAACACTGGATAAATGTAGTTTTGGTGAAGACTGTGATCATTTATTTCCTAAACTCTCTGAGAATTTATTTAGCTTTCAATTATTATTTAACCTTTGAGATCAAATTTCCTTTGAGTGACTTACTTTTAATTCTGAGGAAAGACACGATACCCTTTGACATTTTTCAGTTTTGACATTTCTCCCATCTCTTCAATGGGAGAATGGGAATGGAAATAGTAGAGTTCCAATTATAATATCTGTGAATAGCTCTGCAACTGAAATAATTGATGTTCGAAATTTTGCACAAAGATAAGTTCTCTGAAGTAACAGTGAAAACTTATGTTGCTTAGAAATGTCCCTGAACTGACCACATTTTGCAAGTTTTCTTCTACTGATACAACATCCCATAATATAGTATGATGACACTGCAACAATAATTTGTCACCAAACAATTTAAAAAAAAAGCCCACAGAAATTTAGAGCCCTGGGCAATTAAGTTCATTTATTGTTTCCTCTTCTATACCTATTTCTTTTTCTTTCAAAAAAGCCCAAACCCTAGGATATTCTATACAAACATTAATGTCAGAACAGCAAAGTTAAATAATTAGGAACTTTAAATCCAAATGCAGAACTGCTTTTCCATCTTTACATCAATTCCCATGTGTGCATGTCACAGAAGACATGGAAACCAATAATTTCCTTTCAAAAATTTACCATCTTTGCCACTAAGATCTTTTGCTTTCCTATCCTCAGTAAAAGTGGCTGGCAGTTATAAAATCCTGTAAAACTGTAGCCCAAGATTTCTAAATTAAAAACTATGCAGGAACTTTTGTTCTTAACAGTTAATAATGTCTTAATCTGTTCAAGACATTGAGTAAGAGATTTCATACCACTCGTAATGCTTCCATTAGGGAAAAGATAATAGGCGACATAATTCACAGTGCTAATTATCTCACTTAGTGCACTACAGTTGGCAGGGACTTTGGGTGGCATTCATCATAGCTAGCTTGCATGGCCTACAGATCAGATGCTACGCCTGCATTAGTCATCTAGGCTCCCTTGCTAGTCGTCTAAGAGAGAAAAACATTTCTGAGGCAGCACTTCAGACCTTCCATCTTAGATTTACGTGTAGATGTGGTGATAAGGGAGATGGCTTAGCAGTGGACTCATGGTGGGTTCAGGGTTGGACTTGATGATCTTAGAGGTCCTTTCCAGCCTTAATGATTCTGTGATTTCTTACGATGGATGGAAGTACTGCTTCCTGCTTTTGTTTGCTTCTCATCAGTGAGATGAAGAGGCCTTTTTAGGGCTTGATACATATTTCTTGTGGGGTTTAAAATAGTAGGGATTAATCCAACTCTCAAATACTACTGTGATGAAGACAGGATTAAAAACCTCAACAGAACAGGCTAGTTAAGCTCCATCACCTGGAACACCATTCTGTGTGTTTGTGTGGGTTTGTAAGTTATTTTAGTTATTTTTAGTCTGATTAGGACTTTACCAGATTTCAGCTCTAAACAAACACTAGGATTGGGTTTGATGTACCACGTCCTACGTATCTTGCAAATATGAGGAATTTAAAGTTTCATATTTTAGACTCAGTCTAAGGGGAGAAAACTAAGTATTCTTGCATTGTGCCTCTAAGGTAATGATCTTAAGAAATGGAACTCTAATTATATTCCATTCAAACCACATTACACAAGTTAAAAAGAAGACTCTGTTGAATAAATATAAATTAATTACAGTGTTTAAGTAGACACTTCATTTCCCCCCGAAGAAATATTCTTAACATACCACTGAAATATTTTACAGGCAAAGTTTCAGGAACTAGAAAGGGAAATGAATTCTATTCTGTTAGAAACAAAGACAACAGAAAGAGAAATACATCTGCAAGATGATGCCATAGAAGTGACCAAATATCACTGTGAAAATCTGGAGGCCCAAGTCAGAGCCCAGTATTCTGAAAATTTAAAGCTGAGGTGTGATGCAGAAACAGTGCAAGAAGAGTTTGAGGTGATACTTGCAAGAAATAATGAATATAGGGAAAAAATAGAGAATCATAAACATCTCTTTTGGGAGATGGAAAATAAAATGCCAG